AGAGAGGATGAGAGAGAGAAGGGCGGATGAGAGGAAGGGAGGATGAGAGGAAAGGAGGATGAGATGAAGGGAGGATGAGAGGATGGGCGGATGAGAGGAAGGGCGGATGAGGGGGAGGTCGGAAGAAGGGGAGGGAGGACGAGAGGAAGGGAGGACGAGAGGAAGGGCGGATGAAAGGGCGGGAGGATGAGAGAGAGAAGGGCGGATGAGAGGAAGGGAGGATGAGAGGAAAGGAGGATGAGATGAAGGGAGGATGAGAGGATGGGCGGATGAGAGGAAGGGCGGATGAGGGGGAGGTCGGAAGAAGGGGAGGGAGGACGAGAGGAAGGGAGGACGAGCGGAAGGGCGGATGAAAGGGCGGGAGGATGAGAGAGAGAAGGGCGGATGAGAGGAAGGGCGGATGAGAGGAAGGGAGGATGAGAGGAAGGGCGGATGAGAGGAAGGGCGGACGAGAGGAAGGGAGGACGAGAGGAAGGGTGGATGAGAGGAGAGGAGGATGAGAGGAAGGGCGGATGAGAGGAAGGGCGGACGAGAGGAAGGGAGGACGAGAGGAAGGGCGGATGAGAGGGCGGGAGGATGAGAGGTAGAGAGGATGAGAGAGAGAAGGGCGGATGAGAGGAAGGGAGGATGAGAGGAAAGGAGGATGAGATGAAGGGAGGATGAGAGGGAGGGCGGATGAGAGGGAGAGAGGATGAGAGGAGAGGAGGATGAGAGGAAGGGAGGATGAGAGGAAGGGAGGATGAGAGGATGGGTGGATGAGATGAAGGGAGGATGAGATGAAGGGAGGATGAGAGGATGGGCGGATGAGAGGGCGAGAGGATGAGAGAAGGGCGGATGAGAGGGCGGGAGGATGAGAGAGAGAAGGGCGGATGAGAGGAAGGGAGGATGAGAGGAAGAGAGGATGTGAGGAAGGGTAGGATGAGAGGAGAGGAGGATGAGAGGAAGGGAGGATGAGAGGAAGGGAGGATGAGAGGATGGGTGGATGAGATGAAGGGAGGATGAGATGAAGGGAGGATGAGAGGATGGGCGGATGAGAGGGCGAGAGGATGAGAGAAGGGCGGATGAGAGGGCGGGAGGATGAGAGAGAGAAGGGCGGATGAGAGGTTGGGAGGATGAGAGGAAGAGAGGATGTGAGGAAGGGCGGATGAGGGGGAGGGCGGAAGAAGGGGGGAGAGGACGAGAGGAAGGGAGGACGAGAGGAAGGGCGGATGAGAGGGCGGGAGGATGAGAGGTAGAGAGGATGAGAGAGAGAAGGGCGGATGAGAGGAAGGGAGGATGAGAGGAAAGGAGGATGAGATGAAGGGAGGATGAGAGGGAGGGCGGATGAGAGGGAGAGAGGATGAGAGGAGAGGAGGATGAGAGGAAGGGAGGATGAGAGGAAGGGAGGATGAGAGGATGGGTGGATTTCATGAAGGGAGGATGAGATGGAGAGAGGATGAGAGGGAGAGAGGATGAGAGGGCGAGCCCTTGAGAGAAGGGCGGATGAGAGGGCGGGAGGATGAGAGAGAGAAGGGCGGATGAGAGGAAGGGAGGATGAGAGGAAGAGAGGATGCGAGGAAGGGTAGGATGAGAGGAGAGGAGGATGAGAGGAAGGGAGGATGAGAGGAAGGGAGGATGAGAGTATGGGTGGATGAGATGAAGGGAGGATGAGATGAAGGGAGGATGAGAGGGACGGCGGATGAGAGGGAGAGAGGATGAGAGAAGGGCGGATGAGAGGGCGGGAGGATGAGAGGAAAGGAGGATGAGAGGAAGGGCGGATAAGAGGAAGGGAGGATGAGATGAAGGGAGGATGAGAGGGAGGGCGGATGAGGGGGAGGGCGGAAGACGGGGAGGGAGGACGAGAGGAAGGAAGGTCGAGACGCAGGGCGGATGAGAGGGAGAGAGGATGAGAGGGAGACAGGATGAGAGAAGGGAGGATGAGAGGAAGGGTGGATGAGAGGAAAGGAGGATGAGAGGAAGGGCGGATAAGAGGAAGGGAGGATGAGATGAAGGGAGGATGAGAGGATGGAGAGGTGGAGGAAGGGCGGATGAGGGGGAGGGAGGACTCGAGGGAAATGAGTGCGACGGGAAGGGAAATGAGGGCGACGGGAAGGGTAATGTTTGCGACGGGAAGGGTAATGGGGGGTGACGGGAAGGGAAATGAGGGCGACGGGAAGGGAAATGAGTGCGACGGGAAGGGAAATGAGGGCGACGGGACGGGAAATGAGGGCGACGGGAAGGGAAATAAGTGCGCCGGGTCGGGAAATGAGTGCGACGGGAAGGGAATTGAGGGCGACGGGAAGGGAAATGGGGGCGTCGGGAAGGGAAATGAGGGCGACGGGAAGGGAAACGAGGGCGACGGGACGGGAAATGAGGGCGACGGGAAGATGGAATGAGGGCGACGGGAAGATGGAATGAGGGCGACGGGAAGATGGAATGAGGGCGACGGGAAGATGGAATGAGGGCGACGGGAAGATGGAATGAGGGCGACGGGAAGATGGAATGAGGGCGACGGGAAGATGGAATGAGGGCGACGGGAAGATGGAATGAGGGCGACGGGAAGATGGAATGAGGGCGACGGGAAGATGGAATGAGGGCGACGGGAAGATGGAATGAGGGCGACGGGAAGATGGAATGAGGGCGACGGGAAGATGGAATGAGGGCGACGGGAAGATGGAATGAGGGCGACGGGAAGATGGAATGAGGGCGACGGGAAGATGGAATGAGGGCGACGGGAAGATGGAATGAGGGCGACGTGAAGATGGAATGAGGGCGACGGGAAGATGGAATGAGGGCGACGGGAAGATGGAATGAGGGCGACGGGAAGATGGAATGAGGGCGACGGGAAGATGGAATGTGGGCGACGGGAAGATGAAATGAGGGCGACGGGAAGATGGAATGAGGGCGACGGGAAGATGGAATGAGGGCGACGGGAAGATGGAATGAGGGCGACGGGAAGATGGAATGAGGGCGACGGGAAGATGGAATGTGGGCGACGGGAAGATGGAATGAGGGCGACGGGAAGATGGAATGTGGGCGACGGGAAGATGGAATGAGGGCGACGGGAAGATGGAATGTGGGCGACGGGAAGATGGAATGAGGGCGACGGGAAGATGGAATGAGGGCGACGGGAAGATGGAATGAGGGCGACGGGAAGATGGAATGAGGGCGACGGGAAGATGGAATGAGGGCGACGGGAAGATGGAATGAGGGCGACGGGAAGATGGAATGAGGGCGACGGGAAGATGGAATGAGGGCGACGGGAAGATGGAATGAGGGCGACGGGAAGATGGAATGAGGGCGACGGGAAGATGGAATGAGGGCGACGGGAAGCTTCTCACCATGCGATATGTGAAAGGCAGGCGCGACCAAATGGCGGGGAGGGGATTTCCCGGGCAGGGCGGGAGGCAAGATGCTGAGGCTGTCTCTAGCGCGTTTGTTTCTAATCGGCTCCGACGCGCGGCGTAAGATGGCTACGCATTGCAGACGATGGATACGTCCGCCCTGTGACCTATGGGAAGCGAGCGTGGTCGAGTGTTTGTGTATTAGCCTATACTTTTAGACTCTCTGAATAAATCGCCAGTTCAGGCCTCGATGTGTCTCGCTAACTCACGCCCGCACTGGCATTTAGTAACAGCCTCCTCTATCCTCACCCTAAGCATCGCACTTTGCTGGTCCAGTCCACACGGACATTCGCTCCCTACGGCTATTCCGCGTATTTCTAGAATCTAAGGTGGCGCCCTGCTGAAGTGGACTAAGCAACTAATATGTTTGTTCGAGTGCATGTGTGGCTGCTCAAACTGTGCACAGTTTCCCTGGCACGTTGCTTCTCAGGTTTGTCGAGTTTGGGAAGAAGGGCCCTGCCTGCTTTTTACAACCAATCAGCATGTAGGGAGTTTGTGGCGAACTACTTTCAGTCGCAAAGTGTTTTTGAGGCTTCGCCTGTCACTCAACCCATCCGAACCTCCAACTGGCAGCCCGCCGAACCTAGAAATACTCAGTTGACTTCCGTTGAGTAATTCAGGTCTTGGGCTTTAAGGCTGCTGCAAGTCCATCGATCAAAGGCACCCCAAAAGCTCGGTTTCACAACTGCCCAAGCCAGTTCTGCACCTGAGATCTACAGTCGTAAACTAGTGTTTGAGTTCCAGGCAGTGACGCTTGAGTTTCCCCCCTCAATTTCGATTTACGGTGTTTTTCTGCCATTTCATACTGCCGTATTTTGTGAAAGTTTGGGATGACTTGTCTGGACATGTACGGCAAGTGCGTCTGTTTCAAGACAGTTGTGTGTGCGTGACGCTGCGTCGTCAGCTCCATGCGTGCTTATTATTACGCCTGCAGTCTCCTTGCCTCATAGGAGAGGAGCTTGTGCTCGTGTCGGGTTGCCAAGAACCGTGCGAGTCCTTGCTGGAAGCCGCATTGATGACGGGTTCTTGTCTACGTGGGTTCGTGTTACTGGAAGCTCCTGGATAAATCGGTAACAGTACAGCAGATGATCAAAGGCTGTCGAGCCTTGAGTTTGGCGGTCTAGTTGACGTGGCATTACTGCACTCAGTCCTCTGGCGAAAGCTCAGTCCTCTTGTGTCCTAGCTGTCTGCCTCCTCCCACCCACCCTTCTCCCCCCTTTCAGTGTCTCCCTCCCCCCTCATCTTCCCCCAAGGACAGCGCGGAGCCGCGGCATAGGCAAAACAAGACACGGATCGCGGTGAGAGGAGGGGCGAATTGGCACGAGAAGGAAAGTAGGCAGGAGGCATGGCGAAGCAAAATACAGCAGGCCAGGCCAATTCCTCCGTCACTCAAAGCAACGTGCAGCCAAATTCCTTATTTCCTTATTGACATCCAGCGCCAAGCACGACCACTTCACTCTTCCCACGACCACTTCACTCTTCCCACGACCTCAATTCTGGCAGATCCGAAACCAGCAATCACCTCTCGTAGTCTCGAACGAAAACTTCATTGCGACATTGAACGACTAAGAAAAAACAAGCTTTCTTCTCGCGCATGCACGCGCTCGTCGTAGCAGAATGGCTCGCGCAAGCACGTCTGGCGGCGACAAGGCGGCGGAGTTGAGAAAAGGGTCGTGGACAGCGGAGGAGGACGATCTTCTCGTTAAGTGCATCGCGGAACACGGCGACGGCAACTGGAGCACCATTCCCAGAAAAGCCGGTACGTGGCTGTAGCTCGCACACAGTGTAGATGTTGGATGATGGCAAAGCGCAGACTATCGGTAACAGGCAAGGCGGGCTGGTTGCGTAACAGCATCGATGCCGGCTTTTCGGCCTTGAGCAAGCTTTTTCTAAAAAAGCCAGCAGCTTTCCCGCTCTCTCCCCATAATGAGAAACGACCTCCCCATTCGCCCTTTCACCGTCCTTCCCCGCTCAACACCCCCTTTTCCTCCCTCCTCTCTCCTCCACTCCGCGTCGCAGGGTTGCAGCGGTGCGGCAAGAGCTGTCGCCTGCGGTGGACCAACTACCTGCGGCCCGACCCGAAGCGAGGCGCGTTCTCGCGTGACGAGGAGGATCTCGTGGTGAGCCTGCACCGTCAAATGGGCAACCGTTGGGCGAAGATCGCGCTCGAGATGCCGGGGCGCACGGACAACGACATTAAGAACCATTGGAACACGCGATTAAAGCGGCGACTGAGGGACCTCGGCGTCGATCCCGACTCGCACCTCCCGCTGCCCTCCGCGCCGCCCATGCTCGCCCCCTGTAGCCTCCTCGCTGCCGCGCTGGGGGAACATCCGCGGAAGGGAGTCTCCGCGGGGTTTGTAGAAGCGGCGCAAAGCGCAGATGGCCCACTGTCAAAACGTCGCCGCGTGGATGAGGCGACACACGACGCAGGTTTCGCGTCGCCCACCAGTTCCTCCTCTCGGCTCCTTCCTTCCCTCCATGCCCCCGCTGCTCCCCGTGCCGCTCCCCGCGCTGCACCTCCCGGTGCCCCTCCCTCGCCGTGTAGCCTTCCCCCTTCCGCCGTCACGTCGCTTTCCACGCCAGCGGGAGAATCTTCCCCCGATACTCCCTCCGCCGACGATAGCCCTTCCGCCTCTTCCACTTCCCCCTGCGACAGCCCTTCCGCCCACTTCCCGGCCAGCCCGCCACTGCCTTCTGAGGCCCTTGCGCCTGCTCCCTTGGTCGTGTCCGCGCGCACATCGCCGGGGGTAGTTGCGGAAGCGGAGGCAAAATGGCGCAACCTGCGCCTAGGCCGCGTATGGCGGGAGGGGCCTGGCGTTGGCGAGGAAGACCAAGCTGGTGGCAGCAGAGGCGGGGGACGGGCGGGGGGCTGGCAGAATGAAGAGAGAGCGGAGATGAGTGCGGTGACGGGACAAGCGGGCAAGAAGGAGGTTGGCAGCATCAACACATGCACCACACCCACTGCAAACACTGGAGTCTCTCAAAGTGTTGTGACAATGCACCCCCCTGCGTGCTTTGAAGCTGGCCTGCCGCGGACGCATTTGGGATATCAGGCTGCCTTGATGCGGCTCACTGCGACTGGCATTGCAGGGCGAGTGAGAACAGGGTTCAGGATGCCCCCTCGCCTCGTCATCCCTTGCCTTCCAGGGGACACTGAGGCAGATGCCACTGCCAGTGCTGCAACTGGGGTGGACATTCCTGCAGCGCTGGGTGCGGGTGAAGGGAGCAACCTGGCAGGTGCAACGAATGACAGCACCATGGCGTCTGGAAGATTGCCCAGCCCCCTCGTGCTCATTGACAGGTTGGTTCCTCGCTTGGCCCTTCTGCTCTGCCGCCCTGTCTAACGATGCCTGTCTCTCTGTGGCAGCCCTTCGAGCGTACTAACTATCTCAGTCTATCTCCTCTCCTGCGATTTTCTGCTCGGTTGTTGTTTGCAGCATGTGGGAAGGTACTGATCCCACCAACCTCTGGTCAGCTGACTCCTCTCTTGACGAATCGCCTCTCATCCTGCCCAGTCCTAAATTAATTCCGTTCACTCCGTCCAGCCTTCTCACAACCAATAACAAACTGACACTCTCTTCAGGAACAACACTGACGCCTGCACCAGCAGCGGGGGCTCATACGGCCATAGGAGAACTCACAGCATTCGACACGACACCGCAGCCATTAGGGAACTGCCACATGGTAGCCTTGGGCAGGTGCCGAATTGACAGGATTGTTTATGAAGGTAACAGATCTACAGGGACTCCCGGTGCCCATGTCCCGATTGTGTTGATGTCACCTTGTGATCCTGGTGTAGGCAGCATGCAGGTAACAGGAGCAGGGACATCACTCTTTGATGCATACGATGTAGGCACGCCACAAGGTGTGCTTCCTTCCCCTAATGGAGCTAGCTTTGCCGGAAGCTTAGTGAGTGTATTTCCTTCTTTCCATAGAATAGCTTCAGTTGGAGCCCTTCAGAAGTTACCAAATTAGGTTAGGAAATGATTTTGATTGTACTTGACACTGTAGTATATATATCTACTAACATGGCTTGTTATTTACTGTAAGGATTTTTCTCGATATTCCTTACCGCGACTGTCCACATCGCGTACAGCAGCAGCCGTTGTTCGCCCGTTACTGCTAACGGGGCTTCGCCAACTTCGCGTGCACTGTTTCACCAAACCTCGCACTGCTGGAGCAGCCGAGTCGGCCTACGCTTCGGGACTAGCCCGAACCTCGCGCCGGCGTAGCACTAGCTAGCTCGCACGCACCGCGTTACCGTTTGCACATTTTCGCGTATAAGTATTCGCTCATGCCTTCGCTCATATTTTGTACTCATTGAACACTCTAGTGCAATCCTCGCTACCTCGATTCATTGCACCCGTAACACTTGGTTTCTTTCGGACCGCGCATCTCCGCACCCCAGGAAACCAACTTTTGTATTTTCACTCGAAGGGACTCATGCCCCTTAGCACCTAGGAGCCGCTGTCCTCGCGTTCTCTCGTAAACGCGTGCAGCCACGACTGCGCCTAGACTAAGCTGAGCCGACGCCTTTCGTTATGGCTGAACACATCGACGTCACGACGCTCACGCAAGACCGTTTGAACGAGCTGTTGCGACAACTCCACGAAAGCTCCGAAGAAATCGCGCCACTGACGGCCAAACGCACGTCCCTGCAAAATGACGTCGCACGAGCACAGCAAGCACAATCACAAGCACCTGACACTCCAGGACAACCTGCATCACAGGCATCGCAGCACGAAAGTGTGGGGCAACCCACGAGCGCGGCCAGTGATGGCGTCGTCCGCCACGACGGAGACGACGACCATGGCACGACACACCCCGAAGCGACGAATGCGGCCAGGAGCTAGCCTCGCGTCACGATTTCGGCACCGACCAATGATTCGGCGCTGCCGTCACCGATGCCGCTGGACTGGTGGCGCGTCATCGTCACAAAGCCGATGGACTATGCGACTCTACCGACACGGGAAGGACAAACCGGACCCCGGGCGCCGTCATATTTCGTAGAGGTGCGCCAATATCGCACGTGCGACGCGTGGTGCGCAGGTCTGCGCGCTCGATTTGAGCAAATTGCGGCTTCGATCGCGGCGCGTCAGAAGCTCCGCACTTGGCGCCAACTCGGTTCCGTTCAAGACTACACTAGCAGGTTCCTGGCGCTGTGTGAGCAAGTGGGATACATGCACGAAAGCGAGCGTATCTGTCAAACATATGTGTATATATGTTATAGTTTGGTTAGGCTTAGTGGGGTACTCACTGTGGGGTACAACCCCTTAGGTTTCTCCTTTGTACCAATTCCCCTCGATAGTCGACCCTCACTTTTCCCGTAAGATTCTAACATGGTATAGAGCATAGGTCCTTAGGACCTAGGATTAGGGCCCACCACGCTTGCCTGCCTCGTCTAGTGCCTACGCGCGCCTCAGCTGCCCGCGCGCGCCTCGGGCGATCCATTTTTTTTTCCCACGTGCGCCGTTTCAGCAGCCCGCGCAGCCCGTTTCGGCCCCACCTGTGCGTCCCTTAAGCCGCCCGCGCGCATTCTGGTTAGGTCACGCCAGCGCGGCCCGTCGCCCAGCGCAGCCCGCATTTAGCGACCAGCCCGCAGCCGCGCGCGTGCGGCCCGTCGCCCAGCGCAGCCCGCAAACGCACGCAGCTTGCAGCCGCGCACGCTGCCTATCGCCACGCGCAGCCCGCAGCTGCAAGCAGCCCGCAGCCCACGCAGTCCGTCGCCGCACGCAGCCTGCGGCCGCACGCGCTGCCCGTAGCCACGCGCAGCCTGCAGCCTCGTGCAGCAAGCCGCCACACGCAGCCAGCAGCCTCACGCAGCCCTCAGGCCGCTCCTGCCTGCTGCCTGCTGCTTGCTGCCTGCTGCCTGCCTGCTACTTGCTGCCTGCTGCCGCCTGCCTGCTGCTTGCTGCCTGCCGCCTGCCTGCTACTTGCTGCCTGCTGCCGCCTGCCTGCTTGCTGCCTGCAACCTGCCTGCCTGCCTGCTTGCTGCCTGCTGCCGCTTGCCTGCAGCCTGCCTGCTGCCTGCCTGCTGCTTGCTGCCTGCCTGCCTGCCTGCTTGCTGCCTGCTGCCGCCTGCCTGTAGCCTGCCTGCTGCCTGCCTGCTGCCTGCCTGCTGCCTGCCTGCTACTTGCTGCCTGTTGCCTGCCTGCTACTTGCTGCCTGCTGCCGCCTGCCTGCCGCCTGCCTGCAGCCTGCCTGCTGCCTGCCTGCTGCCGCCTGCCTGCTTGCTGCCTGCAGCCTGCCTGCCTGCCTGCTTGCTGCCTGCTGCCGCCTGCCTGCAGCCTGCCTGCTGCCTGCCTGTTGCCTGCCTGCTGCCTGCCTGCTGCTGCCTGCCTGCTTGCTGCCTGCTGCCGCCTGCCTGCAGCCTGCCTGCAGCCTGCATGCTGCCTGCCTGCTGCCGCCTGCCTGCTTGCTGCCTGCAGCCTGCCTGCCTGCCTGCTTGCTGCCTGCTGCCGCCTGCCTGCAGCCTGACTGCTGCCTGCCTGCTGCCTGCCGCTACTTGCTGCCTGCTGCCGCCTGCCTGCTTGCTGCCTGCTGCCGCCTGCCTGCCGCCTGCCTGCCTGCCTGCTTGCTGCCTGCTGCCGCCTGCCTGTAGCTTCCCTGTTGCCTGCCTGCTGCCTGCCTACTGCTTGCTGCCCCTGCCTCCTGCCTCTGCCTCCTGCCTCCTACCTGGTGCCTGCTGCCTCTGCCTGCTGCCTGCTGCCTGCTGCCTCCTGCCTTAAGCCAATATGGCGACGCCTAACGTTCTAGCGTTCGAGCCTGACGGTCGTCCCATCGAGTTCACTGTATGGTTAGACGATCTCCAGCTGTTCCTCCTGACTGATGCCAAAGATGGCGTTTCCCTGTTTGATTACGTCTCTGGCACTGCCGTTGCTCCTGCTGCTGATGCTCCTGCTCTAGAACGCTCCCAGTGGCAGACTCGTGATGCTGCTGCACGCCTAGCTATTAGGAACCACCTGCCGATTACTGAGCGAGCACATTTCAGCCAGCACAGAACTGCTAAGACACTGTACGACGCTGTAGTTGCGCGCTACTCCTCCCCGGCCATTGCAGCCATAGGTCGACTCATGCTACCGTACCTGTTCCCCGATCTTTCCTCGTTCACCACTGCTGAGGACCTAGTTTCTCACCTGCGCGCTACTGACACTCGCTTTCGTGCCGCCCTTTCAGCCGAGTTCTGCGCCGCAACCCCCCCCCCCCCGGGATGTACTTCACTCTCTATTTCCTCGTCACCCGCCTCCCTGACACTCTTAGCTCTGTCAGGGACCACTTCCTAGCGCTAGACCCCACCACTCTCACTGTAGACGACTTCGAGAAGCACCTCCTCGCAGCAGAGAAGAACATCCTCGCTGTAGGTGCTGCTCGTGGCACTCCTCGCTCTCCCCTCTTTGAGGGGTGCTCCCCCTCCCCTCTCACCCCCTCCTACGCCTCCGCAGCTGCTGCTCACGACTACCTTGGTGCTGAGGGGGTCGGAGCTGCTTCCGCTCCCAGTGGGAAGCGTCGCAGCGGCAGGGGCAGCAGGGGTGGCAGGGGCGGTGGGGGTGGCGGTGGAGGTGGCGGTGGTGCAGGCGGCGGGGGAGGTGGAGGTGGTGGGGGTGGTCGTGGGGGTGGAGGCGGTGGAGGTGGTGGTGGGGGCGGCGGAGGCACTGGGAGCGGTAGAGGCGGCAGCAGCGGCGGTGGGGGAGGAGGGAGCGGTGGTGGCATTGGTGGTCAGGGCCAGCAGCAGCAGCAGCAGCAGCAGCAGCAGCAGCAGCAGCAGCAGCATCAGCGTCAGCGCCAGACCCCCACTTCCCAGCAACTTCTTGACTGGTATGCCGGGCGTGGGGCTTCTGGGGGTCCTGGTCGCTGCCCCTATATCATCCGCACAGGTCCCCGCACTGGACGCCAGTGCACAGGTTTTCACACTGAGCAGCGCTGCTTCGCTCGGCTTAGCGACGCCTGGCGCGCCAAGTTTCCTGATGCTACTGAGTTCCCCAACTGGGCAGACTTACTTAGGCGTGATGTACCTATCTTTGATCTTGACTATGAGGCAATTCTTGCTGCTATGTATGCCTTGTCTGTTAGTGCTGAGGGTGACTGCTACTTGTATGTGCCGCCGGATCCTGGTATAACCCCTGGTATAGCCCCTGCAGCACTAGGTGCTTGTGAGTCTGCTCCCCTTGGTACTGCGCCTGCACAGGCTTTGCACACCTTTACACTTGACTCTGGTGCTTCCCGCTGTTTCTTTTGCGACAGTACCACAGTCACTCCCCTCCCTGCACCTATTCCTGTCTCACTGGCTGACCCCTCTGGGGGCCCAGTGCTTGCACGGTCTTCCACTGTGCTTCCGTGTCCGGCG